AAGAGAGTCAATACCCTGTAATAATTTTAAATGGGGTATAATCCATAAAAATACAGAGTCACCTTGTTGTACACCTGAAACTAACATACTATTGACATACTTCAGTTAAAAGAAAGAAATAAAGGGTTCCTGCAACCCAGGATTTACGGAGCAGGACTCCATAAAACTCTGTAAAACTCTTTGGTTTTCTGCAGTTTGAACATCATATGCCCGGCTGTGGATTTTGCAGGCATCTATTCTGTTTGGTGTCCTCCGCGCTTCCTGGGTCTGTGGTTTGGTGCCTGTCCTGAGTCTGGGACGTTCTTGGCTGTTAGTCCTTCAAACCAGAAAAACCACCACCAACAATGACCAAAAAAATAGAACAAAATGTCCAAGAGCTGTGGGGCAATTTCAGAAGACATTTCAATGTGGTGCCTGGAGTCTGGAAGGAGAGGCGGAACAGGCAGGAGCAGGCACACCTACGTGGTCCAGCAGGGCAGCCACGAACCACGAGTGACACAACAGACGTGGCTAGTGCAAATGAGGAGCTGAACTTTAAATCTAGAAACCGATACTTGACTCGGCTGTTAGACATTAGTGTGTTATTAGTGTGTTTGGAAAAACTCAGGTGTGAGAATCTGCTTTTTCAGTTGTAAGTTTCATGACATCTGCATAGAGATCAACTATTTCCAATGAAAATTCGGCACTGGAATTGAGATGTACCACATTTACACATCGTATTTCAAAGATGGTACCAAAAATGCAAACCGTCTCCAATTTTTGATGCTGATCACATGCTGAAATGAAAATAATCTTGAACATATTGGATTAAATTATTATTTAATTATTTGCGCCTGTTTCTTTTTACTTCCTTAATGTGGCTACTACTGAATAGAAAATTTAAATCAAGTACGTGGCCTCATATTTTCTGTTGAACGGCGTTGCCTTAAAGCCTGTGATACTTTAATGAAATGGAAATAAAGTTTGTAGGAAACGTCTACGATTCTTTTTGGCATATTTGGAGGGAGTCCTTGGAATGCCCTAGTTCAGGGCCTTTGTTTTACAAATGAGTAAACACAGGCCCAGAGGGGGCAAGTCAGTTTCCTGGGGTCACACAGCATGTTGTGGATGGAGCCAGGCCCAGAACTTAGCACTTGCTCCAGACAGGCTTGGAGGAGTCAACCGCTCTGTGACAAACCTACACTGGGCTCCCCACACACCCCACGGGGACTCAAGTCTGCAGGCCACAAGAAGCAAGCAATACAAGGGTGACATCTGACCCCAGCAGCGAGGAGACATCTTTAGGGCTTTTCCCAGCCGTGCAGACCAAAGCCTGCTGCCCAGAGAGGGGCCCAGTCCTCTCACCACTCGGCCATCTGGCACATGGCCCAACCTTCCTGGTGAGCAGCAGGTGACCTCTAACTACAAAGAGAAAAATGTTCCCCTCTGCTAAAAAGAGAGCCCTACCAAACCCAGGGTCTCCTGAGCAGCTCACGTTACACCAGCATAGACATTCCTTTCCTCTGAAGAGAGAGGTCTGCGGCTGGGGGTGGGTGGGGCTGTGCCTGGAGGCAGGTGCCCTGACCTGGGGAGTGACCAGGGGCAGTTCCCCTCCTCCCTCTTCCCGCTGCCCAATCTGGGCACTTCAGAGCCTCGATTTCCCTGCATGTGAAACGGGGACAGCAGTTGCCGTGAGGAAGCCTCCTCACGAGACTGTGAAAAGCTGGCACAACGGCAGCTGTTGAGGGCTAGATCGTGTCCCCCGGATCCATACGTTGGAGTCCTAACCCCAGGACTTCAGAATGTGACCTGAAAAGGCCTTTCCAGAGGTGATCAGGTTAAGATGAGGTCATTAGTGTGGGCCCTGAACCAATAGGACGGTATCCTGATAAGAAGGGGAAACCGGGGCACAGAGGGAGAATGATGTGAAGACACAGAGAGAAGACGGCCACGTGGCAGGATCCCAGGAGCACCAAGGATGCAACAGACACCAGGAGCTCCAGGGGGCAGGCAGCATTCTCTCCTGGAGCCTCGTAAGGGTGCAGGACCCGCCCAAGGCCTCGATTTCAGACTTCCGGCCCCAGAGCCGTGAGACAAGAAATGTGGGCTGTTACAGCAGCTGTGTCCCGTGGTCCACCCCGAGCCCCCAGCTCAACCCTCACCAGACCCATGTCTGCGCCCCCATGTTTTCCTCCAGCACCCCAGCCCCTCCCACCTCTTCCCTCCAAGCCCCACCCTGCTGGCTGTGGCGGGACGAATAGGGGACCTAGGAGGGGATCCGAGGGCGAGCACCCCGTTTTCTAGAGGCTGTGTGGGGTGTGGATCCGGCTCAGTCACCCTGTGTGGTCTGCGCCTCGTCACTTAACCCCGACAGCATCCTCACGCGTCAGATAGGGATCCTTGGCCCTTGCCTCCTGCCACGTGGGTCCAGTGCGGGGACACACCGTGCGTGACACAGGGGGTGGCCCCTGGGTATGACCCCGCTCCAGGTCTCTCTGGGCCTCCGCCCCCGTCGCCGTCACTCCAGTCTCCCACACCCCACCTACGCTCCAGAGACGACACTGGGAAGGTCCCCCGGGGCCTGGCACCCAACGGGCGGGCAGCAAGAGTGTTGAATGCGTGAGTGAGTGAGCTAGTGCAGGCGGCGCTGGCTGAGTGAGCGGCTTGAAGGGCACCCACCCCGTTTGCAGAGGGCACGCGGCCCCTCAGAGCACGTGCTACCCTGGGGGCGGCAGGCGGGGTTTCAGAGGGAGCCCCAAGCCTGGCTGACTCCAAGCACTGGGCGCCTGGTCCTCACACTGAGCCCACACGCTCCCCCCCATCTGCGGGGAGCCTCCGCGTGACCTGGGGAGTCCCGGACACCTCCTGGGGTGCTCAGCTCTGCCCTCTGACCACCCCCTTGTGCCACCTTGAGACGGAGCCAGGGTCTGAGGGCCTGCCAGCTTGTAGAAGTGTTTCATCTCCTGAACCCCAGTTTTCTGCATCCAGCCGGCCCTGCTGACATCCATCACAGCCCTTCAAGGCCGGAGAGGTTCAAACCCCGCACGGCCCCCTCCCCGACCACGACCCTTGGAATGAAGCCCCGACTCCTAGCCAGGGGTCAAGGCCCCATTTTCCTCCAGGCCACTGTACCCGGTCATGCCTGCTGCACTCAAGCACCACCCATGCCCCGCCCTCATTCACCTCCACCGCGCCCCGGCTAACCCCAACCTTCACTCAAACCATCACCTCCATCTGGAATATTCTCCCAGCTATTTGCCCCCCACCTCCATCCTGGGTAATTCCCACTCACCCTAAGTGCTGGCGCCACGTCCTCAGAAGCCCCTGCCCAGCGTCTACACCTGCGGCCACTCTTACGGGCACATGGCACCGTCTCTCCTGCTAGACTGAGGCTCCCTAGAGCCAGGTGCCGAGGTGCCTGCAGGGCCCCTGCACATGGCGGATGCCCAGGAAGGTGCATCACCCAGGGAGGGGGGTTGCAGCCTCTGGGCTCACCCGCCCCCTCAGCAGGACCGGGAGC